TAGTGTTCTGTAGATTTCCACATATAGATCTATTGTTCTTTTATTCAGGTATATCCCTAGATATTTCAATTTGTGCTTGGCTATTGTGAAGGGTACCACCTTTTTGATCTCCTCTTCTGTGGTCTTATCTGCTGTGTATAGTAGTCTGATAGACTTCTATTTGTTGATCTTGTATGCTGCCACTCTGCTATAGTCCTCTATTGCTTCCAGTACTGCCCTTGTGGAGCTTTTGGGATTTTCCATGTATAAAATCATATCATCTGGAAATAACGATAGTTTCACCTATTCCTTCCCCAGGCGAATACCTTTGATGTCTCTTCTTTGCCTTATGATGTTAGCTAAAACCTCCAGGACGATATTAAATAAAAGTGGGGACAAGGGGCATCCTTGTCTGGTCCCCTTTTTCATTGGGATTGTGTTATTCTTTTCTCCATTGACTACCACGTTGGCTGTTGGTTTTCATCTATAGCTTGTATTGTCTTGAGAAACTTTCCTTCCATTCCTATCTTCTCAAGTGTCATAAACAGGAATTGGTATTGGGTGTTGTCGAATGCTTTTTCTGCATCTATCGATATTATCATGTGGTTCTTTTAGTTCATGTCAATGTGGCGAATGATACTAATGGCATTTCATTTGTTGAACCATCCCTGCATCCCCGGTATGAATCCTACTTGGTCATGGTGAATTTTTGTTTTACATACTTTTGTATTCTATTGGTCAGTATTTGGGTCAGGACTTTTGCATCGTTGTTCATTAGGAATATTGGTCTGTAGTTCTCGATTCTTGTGGCATCCCTGCCTGGTTTCAGTGTCAGAATTATACTAGCTTCATAGAAGGAGTTCAGGAGTTTGCCATAATTTTCTATGTTCTGGAAGAGTTTGTGTAGGATGGGTGTCAGTTCTTCCCTGAATGCTTGGTAGAATTCTCCTGTGAAGTCATCTGGCCCAGGGGATTTTTTTGTTGGTAATCTCTTGATAACCTTGTCTCTTTTCTTTCTTTCTTTCTTTTTTTCTTCATGAATTTGCGTGTCATCATTGCACAGGGGCCATGCTAATCTTCTCTGTATTGTTCCAATTTTAGTATATGTTCTGAAGAAGCGAGCACACCTTGTCTCTTTTCTTCTCTTGCTATGGGTCTGTTGAGATTCTTGACATCCATCGGGGATAGTCTAGCGAAGGATTGTTTTTCTAAGAATTTGTCCATGTCTTCCAAGTTCTTGAATTCATTGGAGTACAGTCCTTTGTAGTACTGTGTAATTATCCTTTTGATTTTATTAGGGTCTGTTGTAATGTCCCTTCTTTCATCCCTCATCCTTGTTATTGAAATTTATTCCTTCCTTTCTTTGATTAGGTTTGCCAGTGGTCTGTTGATTCTGTTTATCCTTTCAAGGAACCAAGTTTTAGCATTATTTTTCCCCCATAGTTTTCTTATTTTCCCTCTCCTGAATCTTAGCCCTGATTTTTATTATTTCTTTTCTTTTGCTATTAGTAGGATTATTCTGTTGATTTTGCTCTAGTTGCTGTAAATTTTGCACCAGCATATCAATCATAAGTCTCTTTTCCTTTTTCACGTGTGCATGTATTGCTATGAAACTTCCTCTGATAACTGCCCTTGCTGTGTCAGCGTTCTCGTGTTCTCATTCTCGTTGGTTTCTTGAAATTTCCAATTTCATCTCTGATCTGTGCCAGTACACACTCCTTTTGCAATAGAGAGTTACTCATCCTCCAATTGTTTGCTCTTGTTTTCTTCATCTTCCCTTTGTTGATTTCCAGCCTTATGGCATAATGGTCAGAGAGACAGAGGTCTGTATGATATCAATATACTTAAATTTATGTAGATTTGCCTTATGCCCTAGCATGTGGTCCATCTTTGAATATGTGCTATGTGGGCTTGAAAAAATTGTGATTTTCTTTTTTTGTATTTGGATGAAGATCTCTGTATATATCTATCAGGTCAAATTGTCTAATTGTAATGTTTAGATCTCTGGACTCATTGTTGAGTTTCTTTCCCTGTGATTTATCTTTTTCAGAGAGCAGTATATTGAAGTCACCTACCATAATTTTTGAGGCTGTGATTTCTTTTTTCATCTTTTGGAGTGTTTGGTTGACTTATTCAGTGGGTCTCTCATTCGGGGAATATATGCTTAAAATGCTTACTGGTTCTCTGTCTACTGTTCCCTTGAGCATTATAGAGTGTCCTTCCTTATCTCTTTTTATGGTTTGCATTTTGAGGTCAATTTTATCTGAGATTAGGATTGCAACTCCTACTTTTTTGGAATTGCTGTTTGCTTGGTATGTTTTTCTCCAGCCTTTGATTCTCAGCCTATTCTTTTCTGTATTCTTGACATGTGTCTTCTGTAAGGCAGCAGATTGATGGGTTGTGTTTTCCAAGCCAGTCTGCTATCCTCAGTCTTTTAATGCCTGAGTTGTCTATTGATATTCAGGGTTATTACCTCCATCTGTGGACTCTGTGATGTCATCTTATACCTTTTGTGTTGGGTGTTTTCCTACCTCCCTTTCTTATCAGTGTGTTATGCATATGTGTGTGTGTGAATCATTCTTGACTTCCTTCCACCCTTAAACCAATGCGATCTTGGGGGCTGTTTTCTCTTTGTTGACCTCTGGGTGGGGCTGCTCTATGTGGCAATCTCTGATTTGTGCTCGGAGAGTGCTGTTCTTCTGCCCATACTGGATCGGCAAGGATCTTTTGTAGGGTTGGGTTCCTTTTAACGTATTCTTTGAGGTTTCCTTGTTTGGGGAGACTCTTACTTCTCCATCTATCTTGATAGATAATTTGGCTGCATAGAGTATTCTTGGGTTTATATAATTTTCCTTAAATTTTTGGAATATGTTACTTCACTCTCTCCTCTTCTTCATAGTGTCCACTGATAGGTCTGAGCATATTCTTATTTGGGAATCTTTATACGTGATTGCTTGTTTTTCCCTGGCTGCTCTCGTGATTTTCTCCTTTTCCTCAAAGTTGGATAGTTTAACTATTATGTGCCTTGGTGACTTATTGAGATTCAGTCTAACTGGTGTTCTTTCAGCCTCCTGAATGGTTACCTGATTTTCATTCATTAAGCTGGGGAAGTTTTCCTCTAAGAATTCTCTCACAATTGTTGCAGATGACTTCTTTGTTGTGTCTTCTTCCAGTAATCCGATTATTCTGATGTTTTTCCTCTTCCTAGCATCAGACATACTGTAGCTCTTAGGTTTTCTTCAGCTTCTCTGATTATCTTTTAGAGTTTTGTTCACATTTGTTAAAGTCTTCTTGGCTGTCCTCTAGGTCACTGGTGTGGTTCTCTGCCTCCTCCAGTCAGTTGGCAAAGTCCATGAGTCTGCTACTGGTTTTTGTTATCTCGTCCCTAAGCTCTCATATTTCCCTTTGGTGTATGGTCTTCATCTCCTCTATCAATTCATCCCTTTTCTGAATTGTTTCCCTCATATCCTGTATGACTCTAAGCAGCATTCTGAAAATTTCTTTCTGTGGCAGCTCAATGTCTGCTTCTTCTATGCATGTCATTAGGTTCAAGGCATCTTCTGCCATTGACTTTTGTTTCTCCTGGGTTTTTGTTGAGGTCGTTGGGCCTGATGGCCGTTTCCATTGCATTGTGTTAGAGGAGCCAGGTGCCATTTTCCAGAGTGTTGAAGAGCACTGGCTCTCTCTGGGAGACTCATAGGAATGCTTCTTCAACCTGCCTGCAGCTAATTGCACTATGTAATTGGCCAACTGCTTTATCCTCCTGTGGCCTCACGCTTTCCCTAGTCAACCAGTATTCTGTTATTTGGAGGGCAAGTTGGATGGTCCTCTCAAGGGATGCAGGTTGGGTGGTTGTGGACCAGAAAGGATGGTGCTGTACTGGGTGGTCTCGCAAGAAGCTGTGATGGTGTGGCCCATGGCAGCTTGAGGCACCACAGAGGGAGTGCGGGTGTGCCTGCTGCAATGGGAGTGCCACAGAAGGCTGGTGGGTTGCCTCCTTTGGTGTAGAGCACAGCGAGTTGTAGGCAGAATTACCCTGGTCAGGTAGATTGCTATGGAGGTTGGGGAGAGGTTCCCAGGGCAGCAGCCTGGAGTGTTTTCGAGTGTTGTCCAAGCTGCCTTGGGTCATGTGAGGCACTACAGCATGTGGGAAGTTCTGTCAGTCAAGTGAGACCACAGAGGATGGGTAGGAGCTACCCCAGACACTCAAGCAGGATATCCCTCCAAGAAGGTGACCAGGATTTCCCCAGCCACGTGTCAAGCACTGCAGAGGGCAGTTGGGTGGAATTTCCCCTGGAAGAAAGTGGGCGAGATATCCCCTGGTGGAGGGTGGGTGGGCTTTTCCCAGCATTGGGTTATGCTGCAGAGGGTGGAGCTCTCCCAGCTGGGTGGAGGGGAGGCATAAAGGCCCTAGGCTAAGGGGAGTGGTCTTGAGGTTGGCAGTGGTGTGTGAGAGAAAAGGGAAGAGAAAAAGAAAAGAAAAAATAAACAAAACCCAAGCCTGCTGAGACTGCAGGGGGACAGAGAGAAGAGATAGAAACAAAATAACAATGTAGCTGAGCCCCAATCCTTGACCGTGTGGCTGGAGGGGTTTAAACTCTGCCCCGAGGAGGCCGGCAAGCTGTGGCTGTGTTGAGATAAAGTCCATGCACTGGCTCCAAATGATCCTGCCTCCGGCTGAGACAGTGGTGGGGCTAAGGTCAAACCCTAGCTGGCCTCCATTGTAGTAAGCCAAAAGCCCCAGCCCCTCAAAACCTAGTGGATCCGTGCCTATTTATCTTTATGATGCTCCTCCTGAGAGCCAACAGTGTGGAGTTTCCTTCTTAGTAACTCTCCTGGGTTGATTTCTGCAGTCCCTCTGGTATGTGTTACTCAGTCACCGTCTTCCTAGAAGTCGCCCATGATGATGTTCTTGATGTCATCCCACCTCTACCAGGTCTCCTGTCATTAATGTCCAGGGCATCAGATCTGTACTTGAGATGGCCTCAGAATCCAGGTGGGATATGCTCAAGGTCCTATTTTGACTCTCATGGACTTACTTGAATTTTATTTATCTTCCACCTGAACTTACACATGAACAATTGATGGTTTCTTCCACAGTTGGCCATTAGCTTTACTTTAGCTGAATGTTGAGCGTTTCCATCTGTGGAGGTCCATGAGAATAGTTGTTTTTTTATGTGATGGATAAAGGTATTTTCAATGAAGAATCATTGGTCTTGCACAATTCTATCATGTTACCTTTGTGTATATCAGCAAGACCATATTTTCCAACTACTGTTCCTTCTTAGTTTCCAACTTTTGCATTCCAATTGCCAGTAAGTAACAATGCATCTTGATCAAAGGTTTGATTAATTTCAGACTGGGATAGTTGGAAGAATTCTTCAAGTTCTTCATCACCAGCTTTAGTGGTTGGTGCATAAATTTGAATATTAGTTGTACTTCCTTGTTGGTGTATAGATATTATCTGATCATAGACAGCATTGTTATTCAAGATGAATCTTGAAATGTCCTTTTTTACAATGAATGCAATGACATTCCTCTTGAAATTTGCTGACAGAGAAAGCCATATGATTGTCCAACTCAAAATGTCTAATACCAGTCCATTTCAGCTCACTAATAGCTAGAATACTGATCTTTGTGAGTTCCATTTTATTATAACTTCCAATTTTCCTATATTCATAATTTGTATGTTCCACATTTTAGTTATATATATCTACAAAATCTTAAATTGTGAGCCTTTTAAGGACACTACTGAGAAAGTGAAAAGACAATCCACAGAGTGAGATACAATATTTATCAATTGATCATCTCTGATGACACGATAATAAATTATTAATAATTCCACTTAAATGGACAATCACTTAGAAAGACTTTAATTCAGAAACACATACACACAAGTGTATACATATGCATGTACATGTGTAAAGCAGCCCTGGTGGTGTAGTGGCTACACACGGTCAACAGTTCAAAACCACAAGCAGCTCTGTGGTAGAAAAACTGGGCTTTCCACTCCCATAAATAGTCACAGTCTCGGAAACCCACAGGGAGGTGCTGAGTCAGTACTGACTTGATGGCAGTGAGTTTGGATTGGTTTGGAGAGACATATAAAGCCAGTAAGGATCCCT